TCATCCGAGTGGGGGAGAGACCTGAAAGGTGGCCTGCGGGGACACTGTGACCTGGTCACCCACAGTGACGGCCACATTTCCTACCTCCCTGTCACCTCGGGTTACTGCCACACCAAGCTTGCGGCCTCGCCCTCGGCCTGCACTGCTGTCTTCAGGAAGGTGCTGCCATCTTAGCCCAGGGACGATGCCAAGGTCAACAGTACCGAGGCATCCCACCCAATTCCAGGCAAGGCGATGGCCGTAATTACCTCCAGTAACCCGCAGCCCCTCTCCCCAGGCCCTGTTCCCACGCGATCGTTGGCTAAACGAGGAGACCGGCCCCGGTGCAGACCAGCAGCACCCGGAGGCCAAGGGGGAGTGCGCATCCCCTTTTCTGCAGCTTTGGACTGTACAAAATAAAAGTAAGGGTTTTTCTTAATAGGGCAAAAAAACCGCGACTCGAGGGTCTCGGGGTCTTCCCCAGTGCGGCAAGTTTATGAGGGCCGGACTCTTGTCAATGGAGTCCCGAGTGCGACCCTCTCTGAAGTCAGGAGACACCAGAACTTTGCCCAGGACCAGTGCAGGCGGGGCACAGGGGTGAAGGGTGCTCTCGGGGGAAACACGCGGCACGGCACACTGCACAGTGCGAAGGCACACGCTCCCCCCAGCCTGCGCGGGGCGGCCAGCCCATCTCCAAGGAAGGTTTCTTTCAGGCCCGACACTGGGAAGTGAATTTTAGTACAAAGAGATGAATCAACAACGGGGAAGTGTCATTTCAGGGCCAAGGGACACCTTCAGCTCCTTTTCTACCAGTCCTTTCAATGTGTTGAAACTTTCTCAGTTTCTCTTTTCTTTTTAAAAAGGTCAAACTTTACATTAATTCTAGCCCAGTTGGGGATTAGTGATAACCAATTCCCACTGAAATCATGCAGAGATGGTAAGTGGGGTTTACTTTCTCTGGAAATGAACTTCCACTTACCTGATTATTTCTTCTACAATGAACGGGTAAATGACCCCCAGAGCTGAGAAACGTGAACTACTCCAGTTTTTCAGACCACTTACCTTCATTCCCATTTCCACCAGCAGCAGAGAGGACAGCTCGGAGAATGGCCTCAGCTGAGCTAATGGCCCTGCGTCTGCGGGGCCCGCCCTCGGTCTCATGTATGATGTACCGGCCCCGCTGCCAAACGGTCTTATATAACACGCTTTCTTTTTCTTTTTTGAGAGGTTTTTGCTATAGGGCGCGTGCGCTCGCCAGACAGACAGTGAGAGACAGAGAAACAGAAAGAGAGAAATCACCCCCCAGGTGCATGGCCACACTGCAATCCCTTCTCCTCCATTCTCCTCTTGGGATCTTGGGCACACACACACACGCACCTCGTGTGGGTTTCAAGCCACCGGGTTTGGGACTCGAACTGTGGTCGACTACGTGGGAGTCCAGCAACATAGCCATTACACTAACTGTTGGTCCCCTTTTTCTTTTTTTAAAGAGGTTTTTGTTATAGAGTGCGCACCAGAGAGACAGAGACAGAGAGACAGAAAGCGAGAAATCACCCCCCAGGTGCATGGCCACACTGCAATCCCTTCTCCTCCATTCTCCTCTTGGGATCTTGTGCACGCACTCACACGCGCCCGGCGTGAGTTAAAGCCACCGGGTCCAGGACTCGAACCGTGGTCAGCTACATGGGAGTCCAGCGACATAGCCATTACGCTAACTGCTGGTCCCTAGATAACACTTTCAACTGACCCTGGACCAAGAACGAAACCCGGCCACCGGTGAACATGCAGCAGCCCCCGTTTCTGAACAGCAGCATGTAACAGAAGGGCTGGTAGTTATGGCTGTTGGACAGTACTTTGACATAGCTCAAAAGCCATGCTTAAACGTCTGATTCATCTGTAGCAATATCCTTAACCTACAGAAAAGCCATTAACGGCCAACACGACAGACAGGGAACCCTGGCAGGAACTAAGTAGGAAACATCTTGGTAGCATTTAGGCAGTTGGGAATTACACGGGGGAAATATTTTCCAGGCAACAATGCATTATACCAGGAAATATTTCCTGAATATAACCGGGAACTAAAAGCTTTAAAGTATTTGTGAAGCAGGAAAGGGAAATGGTGCATGTGCTGCTCACCTCGAGGTGAGGAGCAACACTCGGTCCACGCACACTCTGGGAGGATGCCTCACTGCACATCAGGGGGAAGGATGGAGGTGTCTCTGAGCCCCCTTCCTTTGCTGAGCTAGAGAAAGCCCGACTTCAGGTCCCTTGCAACTGGTTCCCATTTCTGTTTTTATAGCAGGTGGTGAGTAAAACATGGCTTTTCTAAACGTGGCTGCTTTGATTAGGAATGGAAACGGCCTGACTGTTCACCTTCTGAGGGAATTTGAGGCTGCACCGTGGGCTCCGGGCCTGTGTCAGGGGGTGCCCACACCACCTAGGAGAGTTCGTGCAGGTCCACTCACACCCAGATGCACGTGGGCGGTATTCCCCGTGCTCCCTGGCTGGCGTGGCATGTGCCTTGTCCCTGAAGTCCGCTGGCTCGGAGGCCCAGGCAGCTGCCTTCCAGTGGCCAGGTCAGCCTGGCCCTCGCCGAGGTCCATTTATGTTGATCGCCAGCTGCCAGAGGTGTTTGATTGGCTAGGGAGAGAGGAGAGCAGAACAGGCCAGGAGGAGGAAGGAGAACAAAGAGCAGTGCCTGCCCTTCGTAAATCCTGTGTGCCAAACGTCGCCCTGCTCCTTTTTCTTTTTTTTTTTTTTTAAGAGTTTTTTCCTAGAGGGCACATGCACTCGCCAGAAACAGAGAGAGACAGAAAGCGAGAAATCACCCCCCAGGGAGGATGGCCATGCCGTAGTCCCTTCTCCTCCACTCTCCTCTCGGGATCTTGGGCACGCACACACGGCATGAGTTTAAGCCACCAGGTCTAGGACTCAAACCTCGATCGACTTCATGGGAGTTCAGCGACATAGCCATTACGCCAACTGCTGGTCCCCACCCTGCTCCTTTCTCCCCGGCAGCTTCGCCCATATGCAAACACCAGGTTTGGAGGAAGCAGAAGGTTTTGCAGTGCAAGGCTGAGATGGTTAGATCGCTTTTTGAGATGGTTAGATCGCTTTTTGAGAGACGATATTTACTGGCCTAAATGAGAAAAAATTCGGCTTTTCCCTGCCTATCTCTTTAGCTACTCTGGACATGGTACTGGCGAACACAGGTGCCTGGGTGCTCCCAAGCCCTGGAGAGGAGATCGGAGATGGGGGCTATTGTGCAGAATGCGCCAAGCGATGGCTCTGGCCACCTGGAACTGTCTGTAGGCCGAACCTCACCACTGATTTAAGATGAAGTACAATGCTTTTATTACACATCTAATTGTTAATGAGAGGAAATGCAATCAGCAGCTCCTTCCACACTCTACATGGAAGCACGGAGACTGCTGAGTCCAGGAAAGATGCAGCCATTGATGGAGCCCAGGAAACTTCTGCCTCCCCCCTCGGAGGGGGGAAGGAGAAGACAGAAGAGATGCAGATATGACGAGGGTATCATGTCCAAGGGTCCATGTCGCCACAGGGTCACGTGCAGCTCAAGCCTGGGTTTGGGATTTCAGCTCTCACGGGAGGTGCAGTCCCGGCTGCCCTGCTTCGTGCTGACTGCGGACGTGGGCTGCCTGCACCTTCTTCTCCGGGGAGCAGGGAGACAGGCAGTGGGGGGCTGGGGTCACGGGCAGGGACGAGAGAGAGGAACAGAAGGGGGAGGCGGGGGCCCGGATCTTCCAGGGTGTACATTCTCGTTTTCTTTTTCTTGCTGGTTAGAGGGCTCCGTCCCCCCTAAGCGTGGCAGGACAGGGCTGCCTGGCCAGGTCCCGGCGTCCCACAGTTCACAGGGAGACCTGGGTGCGTCTGTCTAGAAGCTACAGTCCCCGTGCCCTAGAAGTGGGTCTTCTCCCAATAGGGTACACAGGGAAACTAGTTCTGTCTGATGGGAAAGCAAAGATTCTGGCAAAACACTAAATATATTTATAAGTCATCTTTGTCTGAAACCAAATGGGGAAAAAATGGTGCAGAGGGGGAAGGAGGAAGGGGAGTGAGGTGAGGCTTAAAAGTTCCGATCATTCACGAAAGATAAAGACATCTTCTGATAGCAGCACTGAGCAGTCGGCCGCGGCGAGCAGGCGTCCGGGGGCGACCGCAGACCGACTGTGTCCCAACGGGAGTCTCCGCTCCTCGGCTAGTCCGGGAGGCCGGTGTGGTCTGTCACTCTGGTTGCTCGTCCTGGTACTGGCAGATCTGGTAAATACCGCAGCGTCAGTGGGTCCTGCGAGGAAGCAGAGCGGAGAGCCGTTAGCCCCTCTGCTGCTGTCTCTCCCGGGCTCGACTTGGCTGACAGAGGACAGAAAGGCTCTGGGGCCCCTCCTGACTCCTGCCTCTCCCAGCCATGCAGAGCCTGTCAGAGGCCACCGGCCCTACCGGGGACTCACACGGAGGGCAGGGCTCGCCGAGTGGGCAGCGCCGTGGTGCTCAGGTGGAGAGACTCCAAGGTCTCGGCCTGAGAGGGTGAGCGATGGGGGAGCACAAGTTTTCACCCCACCCTCAGATGGCAGGGCGGGCAGGATGGCTCAGGGCTCTGCCCGGGTGGCCATAAACACCGCAGTGCCCTGAGCAGACGCGCTCCTGGTGCCTTCAGGGAAGGTGAGCAGATGGCCTAGAGAGGGAGGCTGGGCCGGGGCTAAAGGCCGGCACCGAGGCGGAGCTGACCCCTGAGAAGAAAGTGCTGGCCAAACAAGGGAACTTGGATAAGAAAGAAAAGTCAGAAACAGACTCCTGGGGGACTGCGTTTTAGGGTGAGAAGAGGGAGACAAAAGAGAGAGCCAGGAAGAGGATTAAAAACTGGCCGTTGCCGCAGAAGTCTAAGGAAGAGAAGACTTTGGCAAAAGGTAGAGGCACACAGGGTCGGGTGATGACAATTAGTATTAATGACCACTGTTTACCCAGGGCTGCTCCTTTTTTTCCAAAAATACTTATTTTATTTAACTCTATTTATTTATGTATTTATTTAAATTTTTACAGAGAATGTTGTGTGTGTGAGAGAGAAAGAGAGAGAGAGAAAGCCTCCAGGTCGAGGACTTGAACTGCAGTCAGTCATGTGGGAGTGCAGTTCCCTCCCACTGTGCCACTTGCCGGCATTCTACCGAGGGCTTCTTACGTGCTAGGCCTGGTGCTGACCACTAGACTTTCCCACCCAGTGGCCCATGCAGCCCTCCTGAGACTCGGTGGGCAGTGCTCCCGCCCATGCCGCACTGGTCTTGGCTCTGGAGAGCTCCCTGCCCGACGTGGCTGAGCAGATGGCCTAGAGAGGGAGGCTGGGCCGGGGCTAAAGGCCGGCACCGAGGCGGAGCTGACCCCTGAGAAGAAAGTGCTGGCCAAACAAGGGAACTTGGATAAGAAAGAAAAGTCAGAAACAGACTCCTGGGGGACTGCGTTTTAGGGTGAGAAGAGGGAGACAAAAGAGAGAGCCAGGAAGAGGATTAAAAACTGGCCGTTGCCGCAGAAGTCTAAGGAAGAGAAGACTTTGGCAAAAGGTAGAGGCACACAGGGTCGGGTGATGACAATTAGTATTAATGACCACTGTTTACCCAGGGCTGCTCCTTTTTTTCCAAAAATACTTATTTTATTTAACTCTATTTATTTATGTATTTATTTAAATTTTTACAGAGAATGTTGTGTGTGTGAGAGAGAAAGAGAGAGAGAGAAAGCCTCCAGGTCGAGGACTTGAACTGCAGTCAGTCATGTGGGAGTGCAGTTCCCTCCCACTGTGCCACTTGCCGGCATTCTACCGAGGGCTTCTTACGTGCTAGGCCTGGTGCTGACCACTAGACTTTCCCACCCAGTGGCCCATGCAGCCCTCCTGAGACTCGGTGGGCAGTGCTCCCGCCCATGCCGCACTGGTCTTGGCTCTGGAGAGCTCCCTGCCCGACGTGGCTACGAGGTGAGACCGATGATGCGGGTCCTCTGTGAGGGCCAAAGGCCTGGGGGAGTGTGAGCGCCAACCACCCCCTCAGAACGACACTGCAAAACGGTGCTCAGAACTGCAGTGGACGTGAACTCCTGCCAGGGGAACCGAGGCAGGCGGCGGCAGCGTTCCTGAGAGCCAGCACAGGCTCGCGAGGGGATCAGAACCAGTTAGGGTACGGGTAGGAGCTGAGTCACACTGAAAATAAAACCTACGTATTTTAGGATCTTTCTCGGATTCAGATGGAGGGAGGAGACACAAGTGGAAGAATACAGAGTTTTGTGGACGTCAGGGTTTTTTAGAGGTCACGGATGGGTTTTTCTCTTTTTTGGACAGTGGGGATGAGGATAAAAACGCTATCTTTCAGAACCAAATGCCTGACACTAATGAGGCGCAGCTGAGAGATCTGGGTGGAATCCCAGGATTAATAGACGAGGGGATTAATAGACGATCTACTTAGTTCAAGAGATCTCTACTGCAGGAACTGTTTGATGCCACAGGATTTTAGGTAGTTTTCAAATTGCTTCAAATCCCATTTTATTTTCCTAACAATTTTACTAGGTAACGAGAGTGGGGCTGATCCGTTCTAGTGGACAGAGGACCCAGAACCATCCAGAGCTTGGGCTGCCTTGGTGAAAGGCATGGTCTGCTCGGGTGGCCAGCCCTGGCTCATGCCGTCCTCTTCCTGGGTTTTGTGGGGCCCCTTGAGGCTCCAGGACTGACACTGCGTCGCAGCCACCTCCCGGTTCCTACCTCCGAGCTACGTGGACAAGCCTCTTCCTACCTGGGCAAGTATGAGGTCAGCGCACGGGGATTTATCTGGAGACGTAGGTGTATGTCCGAGAAGGGGAGCGTGGGGGTTCCGCTTGGGCAGCTGGGTCGTTTAGGAAGTCCCAGATGAGGATTGTGTCATCATGGGAACTACTGACAATCTGGAATTCATCGAACTGGAGTCGGAAAACTCTTCCAGAATGTTCCTAAAGAAGCAGACACAAAGAGGGTAAGAATTTCAACTACTCATTTTAAGGACACAGACTCAGCCTGTCAAAGGAGTCTACGGAGGGGTACTTCTCTCGACCACTTAGCTGTTTCAGAAATACAGAGAGAGGGGCCAACAAATGGCATAGTGGTTACGTTGCTGGACTCTCACATGGCTGACCTCAGTTTGAGTCCTGGACCCAGTGGTCTGAAATTCACGCTGGGTGTGTGTGTGTCTAAGAACCTTGGAGAACGGAGAAGGGATTGTGACATGGCCATCCCGCCGAGGGCGATTTCTCACTTTCCTTCACTCTCTCTCTCTCTTTGGAAAGTACACGTGCCCTAAGGCAAAACAACAACAACAAAAAACCCTCTTAAAAAAAAAAAAATCCAGAGAGAAAGCTTCATTTGGCTAAGAGCAGGATAAAAATCACATACTGGGCAGCTGATTTCCGAAGTGAGCGTCTCTAGCCGAGACCCCCGTTACATAGCAAGCTGGCTTCTCACTGCTAGCTCCCTGTGGGGTACATTGGCTGAACGCATTCCTCAGTGACTCCTGACCTCCATGTCCCTCTGCATCTAAGTTCCTTCCATAACCAGAGACTGAGGGTGAGTGAACAATAAGCAGTATTGTTCTGCAGATGTTTCTCAACCTTACTTCCCCAACTTGTAAAAGTTTTTGTAGATTTTCATGGCCATGGTCAGTCGGCTTGCAGAGTTCATGAGAACCTATCTAACAGCTGGCTCTCCCGCGGGGTACACGGTTGCTCGGGCATGCCGCCAGCAGTACCCAGCACCCCATCAAGATGCAGAGTCTCCTAGAAAGCACTCTCGTGCCCCTTACAGGTGGTATCATCTTCCTTCCAGGGCTATCATCATTAATTCATTTTGTCTGTTCTTGAATTTCACAGAAGTACACTTAACGTACTGTGTGCTTTTGTGCCTGGCTTCTTTACTCAACACTGCATGCCTTATCTCTGTTATGGTACTTTTTTTTTTTTTAATTACTAGTTGATATTTCACTCTATGAATATATAACAATTCTCCCTTTGGTAGATAACATACAGACTGGTTATAGTTTTGGGCTGTTCTAAGTAAAACTGCTATAACATTTTTGGACATGCCTTCTGATGGGAATATGCACTCACTGGATCCTGCAGTAGACCTGCTGGCCCAGGGAGTATGCATGTTTAGTCGTCAGAAGTCAGGATGCATTTCTGCATAGAAAAATACGTCCTGACTTTTCCAACAACCCAATAGATGCAATGAAACAGTTCTTATAAGTTAAGCCAGGACCAGCAGATGGCATAATGGTTATGATGCTGGACTCCCACATAGATGACTGCAGTTCGAGTCCCAGATTTAAATCTTGCGCCGGGCGCGTGTGCGTGTGTGCCCAAAATCCCAAGAGAAGAATGAAAGAGAAGAGATTGTGGCATGGCCATTCCCTCTGGGGGGTGATTTCTCACTTGCTGGCTCTCCCATGTGCACACGTTCCCTGTAGCAAAAATCTCTCTAAAAACAAAACAAAACAAAAAAAGTTAAGCCACTTTACTCTCTCACTAGCAAAACATTAGCGTTCTGGTTCCTCGACTTTCACCAGCCGACACTGCCCATCTTCTCAGTGTAGCTATCTTAGGTTTGTAGTAGTCTCTGTTAGAGTTGTGTCTTTTCCCTTATGAACTTGAGGAAGTTGTCCTCTATACCTAGTTTGCTGACAGCTTCTATCATGAATGGATTTTATCAAATGCTTATTAATTTAATGATATAATCATGTAATTTTTCTTTTTTAGCTTGCTGATGTGATGAATTACATTAATTGATTTTGGATGAACCAGTCATGCACATCTAGGATAAATCCTACCTGGTCACACTGTACAACTTTTCATATATTGTTGGATTTGATTTGCTAAAGATTTTATAGAGAATTTTCTTTTAAATATAGGACCTCACCAGGACCAGCAGATGGTGAAGCAGTTATGTTGCTGGGCTCCCACAGGGCTGAGTGTGGTCCGAGTCACGGATCCAGTGGCTTGAAACTCACAATGGGCACATGTGCGTGCGTGCCCAAGATCCTGGGAGGAGAATGGAGTGTAGTGTGGGCATACATCCTGGGGAGGGAGTGATTTCTCATTTTCTGTATCTTTCTGTCTCTTCGGTGAGTGCACGCACCCTATAGCAAAAATCTCTAAAAAAAAGAGTTACTTCAAAGCTGGCCCCATGGCATAATGGGTTAAGAGCTGGATCCCACAGAGCTGTGGTTTGAATCACAGCCGCCAGCAGCTTGAACAACAAGCCAGGCACATGTGCATGCACACCCTGAATTGTGACAGTATGGAGAAATGGAGAATGAACTGCAGTATGATCACCTTGTCGGGGGCTGCAGGCTCGCTCTCAGGCAAGCACCCTCCCTCCACTGGCAATTGAAAATTTTACTACATTTTATTTACATACTACAACTTTATTTTTTTAAGGTTTTTGCCACAGGGCATGTGTGCTCTCTGGAGATAGACATGAGAGGGAAAGTGAGAAATCACCCTCCGAGATGGCCACAGCACAATCCCTCCTCCTCCATTTTCCTCCTGGGATCTGGGACACACACACGCCTGGCTTGAGTTTCAAGCCGCAAAGTCTGAGACTTGAACTTGGCTACGTGGGAGTCCAGTGCCTTAACTACTCCACCACTGGCTGCCCCCGGTACACTATTACCTTTATTTATTCAATCAAATCTAATTAATTTTGTTTATTATTACTATTATTTTGGTATGACTGAAGAGAGAGGGGGACAGTGAGAAAGCAAGCCACCAGGTCTGGGACATGAGCGGCCATTGACCATGTGGAGTCCAGCACCTCAACCACCATGTCACCTGCTGCTCCACACGAATACTTTCTTTTTTGGAGAGGTTTCTGCTATAGGGCGTGTGCGCTCGCCAGACAGACAGAGACAGACAGACAGAAAGTGAGAAATCACCCCCCACGGGGGATGGCCACGCCGCAATCCCTTCTCCTCCATTCTCCTCTCGGGATCTTGGGCACGCTCGCACATGCAGCTGGCGTGTGTTTAACCACCGAGTCCGAGACTTGAACCACAGTCGACTACATGGGAGTCCAGAGACATAGCCATTATGCCAACTGCTGGTCCCCACACTACTACTTTTTAAAAAAAATTTGCTGGAGCAACTGGAGGGGTGGGTAATGTGCTGGAACTCACATGGCTGGTCACAGTTCAAGTCCCAGACCTAGTGGCTTGAAAATCATGCTGGGCGCATGTGTGTGCATGCCCAAAACCCCAGGAGGAGATTGAGGAGATTGTGGTGTGGCCATCCCTGGGGGCGTGATTTGATTTCTCACTTTCCCTCTCACACTCTCTCCAGTCAGCACTTGTAGCACATGTGCCCTGTGGCAAAAACATATTTTTTTTTTTTTTTTTTTTGCCAGAGGGCCCAAGTGCTTGACAGAGAGAAAAAGAAACTGAGAAATCATCCGTGTGGGGAAGGGTAACAACCCCAATCCCTTTTCCACTCCTTCCTCCTTTGGAGATTTTGGGCGTACACCCACATGTGCCTGGCATGTTTCTCAAGCTGCTGGATCTAGGACTTGAACCACACGGTCAGCCATGTGGGATCCAGCTGTGTGCCGCCGCTGGTGGCCTGGCATGTCACTGCTTTTCTTTCTTTTTTTTTTTTTTGCTATAGGGCGCATGCGCTCCCCAGACAGACAGAAAGAGACAGAGAGACAGAAAGCGAGAAATCACCCCCCGGGGGGATGGCCACGCCGCAATCCCTTCTTCTCCATTCTCCTCTCGGGATCTTGGGCATGCACGCACATGCGCCCGGCGTGAGTTTAAGCTACCGGGTCCAGGACTCGAACAGCGGTCGACTACATGGGAGTCCAGCGACATAGCCATTACGCTAACTGCTGGTCCCTCACTGCTTTTCTTTTAAAGTTTGTTGTAGAGCTTGCGTACCTGGCTTGAGAGAGAGAAAGTGAGAAATCACCTCCCCAGGAGGATGACCATCTATTCTCCTCTAGGGGTTCTGTGCACACATGCATGTGTGCTCAGTGTGTTTTTTTGGGGGAAAAAATTATTTTTTTAAATTAAAAAAATTTTAAATGAATTAATTTCTGAAACTTTTAATAATTTACATTCATTCCCTAAGCATCGTCACATCACAAAAAAATGTGATTTCCCATCCAGAATATACTACGCAGTGGCATGTTATCGTCATATCGTCATGCATGTTATCGTCAATAATTTTCCATTTGTAGTTACTTATATATATATACATATATATATACATACATGTGTATATATATGTATATATATAAATTTTACCCCTATTTCTGACCCTAATGATATATCTGTATATATATATATATATAT